GTTAGCTGACAACTGCAACCTACCAACCCAGCTTTCACTGATCTCAATCTGGACATAAAAATGAGTGAGTCACCTTGCCTCCCTCAGGGTGCTTTGACAGCAGGACAAAAAAGTAGACAATTAAAGGTGGTACAATGATCATGATGGGAGCCTATAAAAGGCTCCATTATAACCCTGCTCAATGTTTGGCAATGAGGCTGGCATTGGAGAGGCTGTGCTGAGGGAAAAATGCCTATGTGAAGTCATAAAGGAAGAGCAGTGTCCAGCATGGTCAAGGAAATTAGGAGGCTCTGTCAAGTAACAGCATGGATAAAGTCATAAAGTACAGAATGTGGGTGCTATGGGTGAGAGGTAGAGAGTAAGGAGAACCAGAACCCAAATCATTTGGGGCTCTCTTCTGAAGTCCTGACTCATAGTGTTCATAAAGCCTCACTCTGATGCAATTTTGTTGGAACCTTAGAGGAACTTAGGATACATTTATAGTCAAAATCATTTTTTATTACTGACTCAGAAAAAAAGGGATTTTTTTTTTTCTTTATTGGGCTAATTAATTACTCCTGATGATCTGGGGATAGCTACCATGTCAAGTACAACCTTGGTAAAGATTTCTCTTACCATTCTTACTGTATTTCAATAAATCTAAGATAACTTCGATTAGAAGAAGAGGTGTTGTTTTATAGACCATTAAGAAAGAAAAATGGCTGGACATTAATTTTAAGATTGCTTGTAAGACAAATCCTGGTATGACATGTTAAAATATAACAACACAAAAAATAATGCATATTAGAATTGATCAAATACAGTAAGTAGGAAGTAGGGAGACTAATGTAGAGGTAGGAAGTTTCCTTGGTGTTAAGACTGTGACAGACACTGCTCATCTATGACCAGCTGGTGCCAGGCCTCTGCACAGGCAGCCTTCTCCAAAACCAATCTTTATGGGGCACTCACTGTGTGGCAACCACTGTGAAAGCATTTTCCATTCCGAAGGAGGTAGGAGTAGGGGGAGCTAAGGCTTACAGAAGTTGAGTGACTTTGCTCAAGTGTCATGTAATTCCTAGACAGAAGGCCAAGATTCATAACCAGGCAGGGTATCCCACGTTTAAGTAAGCCCCATCCTGCCTCCATTTCACTAAGGGCAATCGGGAGAGAGATTTCGTTGCTTAACTCAAACACTCCCAGCACATTTACTCCCAGACTGCATTTACGTGGTTCATACTTTCATCAAAGCACCCGGGTTCCCTTAGGCTTACAGCCTTTTCTTCTGAGCAACTTGCCATGTCTTGGATTCCCTGCTCATTATGTGGAACCATTCCCTCCTCATTCAACTCAACTCAGGGTGGTTCACCCATTCCCTGGCTTGGTTTCAAGGCCACTGGAGCCCAACAGCCCCTTAGAAAGATCTGGGGCTTCTAATGCTCTGCATATATTCAACTCCAATGTAGGAAGGCCCCTGGCTGTGGAACATTTAAGAATGAGTAGGGTAACTGACATTCAGTCTCTTGAGCTCCAGGCTTCTCTGCAAGAACTGGTTATTGTGCAAATGTAATAATAAGAGTGACAAATTTTAGGGTCTGTAATTTCAGCAATAAATCCCTGAAAAAAGGGCAAGGAAAAGCCCTAGGGGACTTTATGGAAAACTTGCTCCACTTCTCTCTGGCTTCTACATCTGTGAGAGGCAATGATCTTGCAGGATCTCCCAGAGCATTTCCAGGACTCCTGGTGGCTCCTCTATGCACCCATGGTGCATATTTTAAAAAGTTTAAATACTTTGCACAAGTATGTGATGCAATTTCATAATATTTTGGGTCCTTGGGATGTATAGAATATGCCTGATTTTTCATACATGTTTTACGTCCTGCACCTCTACAACAATCTGATGAAAGCTATGAACTCTCTCCTCAGAACAAAATACATTCACCTAATTTTCAGAGATTCAATGACTGAACTGTATCTATCTTTTGACAGTGGGTGAAAAATTCATTGCTATGGAGTTGATTTGGACTCATGATCATCCTATGTGTGTCAGAGGAGAACTGTGCTCCATAGGGTTTTTCAGTGGCTGATTTTTCACGAGTATATTGCCAGACCTTTCTTCTGAGGTACCTCTGGGTGGACTTAAACCTTCAACATTTGGGTTAGCAGCCAAGAACATTAAATATTTCCACCACCCTTGGGCAATGGATAGACCCCATGTTCCTGTTAAGAATCCTTGATTTGCAGGGAGTCACTAGGGCTGGCTTTCCTGTTTGAGATTTCAAGATTCTGATAATATACTTTAGGAATATCCACAAGGGAGAAGGAATGGCTTGAATCAATCTTTAAGGGACTTAGCTGATATTCCATGATCTAAGAAAAGAGATATTAACTATATCCTTCAGTATGAATTACACCTCAACATAAAACAAAAATCATCACAACTGGACCAATAAGCAACATCACGATAAATGGAGAAAAAGTTGGTATTGTCAAGGATTTCATTTTACTTGGATCCACAATCAATGCTCATGGAAGTAACAGTTAAGACATCAAATGATGTATTGTATTGGGCAAATCTGCTGCAAAAGAGCCCTTTAAAGTGTCCCTTTGAAGACAAGGTGCACCTTACCCAAGCCATGGTCTTTTCAGTAGCCTCATATGCATGGAAAGCTGGACAATGAATAAGGAAGACCACAGAAGTGCTGATGCATTTGAATTGTAGTGTTGGCAAAGAATAATGAATACACCCTAGACTGCTAGAAGAACAAACAAATCTGTCTTGGAGAAAGCACAGCCAGAATACTCCTTAGAAGTGAGAATGGTGAGCCTTCACCTCTTGTACTTTGGACATGTTCTGAGGAGGGACTAGTCCCTGGAGAAGGACATCATGCTTGGTAAAGTAGATGGTCAGTGGGAAGGCAGACCTTCCAACAATATGGACTGACAGAGTGGCTGCAACAATGGGCTCAAGCATTAACAACTGTGAGCATGGCAGGGGACCTGGCAGTGTTTTGTTCTGTTGTGCATGAAGTCACTGTAAGTCAAAAACAACTTGACAGCACATAACAACAAGAGGTTTCCAGTGCTTGAACATGGGGTTCAGGAACATCCTAGATGACATTCTGTGCTAAAGTTTGTGTGTCAACTTGGCTGGGCCTGGTTGAGTGGCTGGGCAGCTGAATGTAGTTATTCCCCATGGTGAGATTAGTAATTAACTCCATGGTGGAATCTATTGGAGCAGCTGAGTAGCTGCTTTGGGTATGTGGTCTGCTTCCCGTATATAAGCAGCAGCTTTGGAAACAGTCTCTAGCTTATGACACATGAACCTTGCATGTAGCCGTGTCATTGTTCAGCAGCCTGCCATGTTCTGCCGACCTTGGGACTTTCAATGGACTTGAATTAATGGCCTGCCATATGGTTTGGTAACATCGGGACTGTGCCTTTTTTCTTGTTAACCTTGGGCTTGTCAGTCTCAGCAGCCAGCAGCTGTCTGAGTGAAGAAAAGCCTCTAGCTTCAGCTGAAGCCCAAGGTTGAGGAGCTTTCATCCAGCCCCTAGAGCCTGGCACTTTGAGCTCGGACTTAAGAACCTCCAAACTGTAAGAGAATAAACTCCAGTTTCTTCAAGCCATCCCATGTATGGTATATTCTTGTCAGAGCAGCACTAGGTAACCAAAACAAGGGATATGGTGTGTTTCTGCCTATGCATGGTTCTGAGCTTGTATTTATATTCTCGTATACAAAATCTTTACTGATAGTGCCCTATTTTACTACATAATAATCACACTGCATTAGGCAATCTACTTCTGAAGTGATCCTGCCTTGGAAACCCAAGGAGGGGCTGCTATGAGTCGCAATCAACTTGATGGCAGTGAGGTTTTTTTTTTTTTTTAATTAAACCTCTTTCCTGGTACCATGTTTCATCCTTGTCACTTCAGCCTGCCTTTGCTATTTTGGAGAGTGAATGCAACTTCAGGTTTCCAGCAAAAACCTGCTTAAGAGAGAGGAACAGCAGGCATTTTTTAATTGACATTTCTCTGAGGTGGCCACCATCTCAGATACTCTTACCCCTTCCCACTCTCCCCATACACACACACTTTTACCCTCTCTGAGTTCAAATTGAGAGAGGTGTGTGTGGGGGCTGTCAATCACTGCCACTGGTACCATCATTCACTTCTTTCATTCAACAAATATTTATTAAGTGCCAACAATGTGCCAGGCACTATGCTGGGCATTGGGGATACAAAGTTGGATAATACACAGCCCCTGCCCTCAAGGAGCTCACAGTCTAGGGGGAGGGGCAGACATGTAAACAGATAAATTACAATACGCTGTGTTGAATGTTATCATAGAGGTATAAACAAAGTGCTGTGGGGCACAAAAGGGAGCGAGCAACTCTTCCTGGGAGGAGGGGAAGGGTGTCAGGAAGGCTTCATCATCACTCAACATACAGTGTTCTGGCCGTGCCTTGCATGCCACAGTGGCAGGCATCCAATGGGGCAGGTCATATCACCCAAACTTCTCTGGTGCTGGAAGAGCCATGGCCCAATCCATGTGGAGCCCTCAAGACTGGTGGAGAAAAGGACTACTTCTGCGTGCTCAGGATGTCATTCATCTCTCTCCTGGGTAACCTCAACTGCCAGAGCCTGGAGGGACTGAGGGCAGCTACTCATCACCCAGGGTTTCAAGAAAGAGGTCAGCTGTACAAGAGACTGGCCTCAGAGGGGCCTTGAAGGGGCTCAGAGCCAGAGAACAAATTCCTGCTTGTGTGTCCTCTCCTCCCACCCCTACCATCTGTGAAGTTACTTCCTCTCTAGACAGTGTTCAGGAGATGCCAAGCTCCCAATCAATTGCTTGTCTTCCTTCTCAAGCTGGATAGGGTAGGTACCAGCTACTCTCTCAACAGGCCTTGGTCAGGGCTGGGGCGTCATTGCCCTGGGATGTACCCCCATGTGGAAGCTCACTCCTCTTCACACAGGCCCTGCACAGCAGGTGCTCTACAGCTGAACCTCCTTTCTCTCTGAACTCACAGCCGCCTCACCAGCTCAATCAGCTGCTGGATGTTTTTGTTTTGGTTGGACAGACCATTCCTGATGTTTTCTAGCAGGCATCTTTTCAACTCAAAAATGGCTTCACTGTATCCCAAGCTCACAGGAGCCATGGGGGGTACCCCATGCCACAGGCTAGGAATATGCCAGACATGTTGTTTCTCAGGGTCACCAAAAGCTACATCAGCCAGTGTCTGGACACTGTCCCCTTGTGTTTCCCCACAGGTCACAGCCAGGTCCCCATCACTCAGCGGCTCTGGGCACTGCCTTCCATCTCTCAGCTGAGGGCTGGGGGCAGATGTACCATGAAGGTTCTGATACACAAACTGATAGCTAGGAGTGTGCCCTGTGGTCTCTAGCCTCAGAAACGCGTGCAGAAGAGCCAGCGGGACGTCTCTTGTTTCTGCTAAGCTGACCACGGTGACATTGCTTAGTCCCATAATCAGAGTGGCCAAGGAGGCCTCCAGCTCAAACCTCTCCCCTGTCGTGGTCAAGGCCCCACCAATCCAACCCCCTGAGTCTATCACTAGGATGTGGTCACAGCCCAGGTCCTGGCTGAAACCCTCAGCCACTTCTACAAGCTGCATGAAGGCCCCTCGAGGGCTGTTGCTCTTCCCAGTGGCAAACCGCAGCCCAAACATGGTGTTGAGCAGTGTGGACTTCCCTGTGCCTGATACCCCCAGAGCTGAAAGAACTACTAGACGTGACCTTCTGTCCAGCCGAATGTGCAGCTCCTTCAGCAGCCCAGTGACCCAGCGTAGGGGGACACTCAGGCTGCCCCCGTCGACTAGCTCCAGTGGAAGACCCCTCAGCAGCAGCTCTAAGGCCAAACCTGGGAAGTGGGCAAAGCGCCTCTGGCCAACTGGCAGCTTCCCTGCCTCAACTAGGCAGCTTTCAGCTTCATAGAACTGTCCCATTTCCCGCAGAAAATGCTCTACCCCCAGAGGATCAGGCCAGAGAGCCTCTGTAGCATCTACAACCCCACAATTCTTGGACCTCAGGCTAAGAAGAGTCTCTGGAGGAGGTCTCAGCCTCTGCTGGGATAGGCGAGCCAGGCCCAGCTCCATCCACCTCAGGAAGTACTGCTTCTCACCTGGCGAGGGGCTGCTGATGGCCCTAACAAACTCCTGCACCCCCCAGGTGGGATCAAGGCTGTTCTGCTGTGCCCGAAGCTCCAGTAACCTGCCTCTCAGTTCAGACCTACACTTCTCAGGAGGGTCTACAGCCCACTGAAGCCGGCAGAGCTCCTTTTCCACTTGTGCCACCTTCCTCCAAGGCTCTCCTTGCAGCCGTAGCTCCTCTCTTTTGTAGGCCTCTGGATCTCTGATTTTCCTGGTAATTTTCTCCATCCGTTCTTTCGCTTTCTGACACTCTTCACAGTCCTCATCCACTTTTAGGCCCAGCTTACGGGCTGCATTTGCCATGTCCTCCACAGACACCCTCCTGCAGGGAGACCTCATCACACAGCACACAATGGACTGGAGCCTCCTCACAAAGCTCTCACTGTCTGTACTGCTGACTTTCACGAGAACATGTGAGTAGTCAATTTTTAGCACAGGGATCAATTTATTGAGGAATCTAAGGTTTGTGTTCCGTTTCCCGCGGTAAGGACTCAAGATGAAATAGTATTTCGTGTTTGACTCCTTCATAGACAACAGCAGTTTGTACTCCTTCTTACTGATATTGTCAGTCAGTATAAACACAGCTGAGGAGATATCCGTCAAAAGTTTAAACTGCAGCCAATGAGAACCAATGTCACCTCTCAAGTTTATGAAGGCCACAGGCTCTGGGAAAATGTCTAAGTCTTCCCGGCCACTTGGGAAAAACCAGGAGATTTCGACAAGCCCGTCTGCAATTTCCCGTGGGCTGGCACCCAAGTTCAGGTCTCGATGCCAGAAACAGTCACGTGGCCTGCAGCCCGGGCTGAGGACAGCATTGAGAAGCTGTGACTTGGAGTTGCTGCTCACGTCCATGCGCACAAAGGCAAAGGTGGGCATTCTGGGCAGGATCACACTGTCCTCTTTGAAGCTCCCTGGTCCCCTGAGGGGCTGCGACCACCATGTCCTCACTAGGCCCCTCAGGGCCCAGAGCAGAAACATATGGTAGTGGTTTTCTGAGTCAGGCAACACGAGAGGGAGTGCAAACTGACAGAGGAACATTTTTAAAAGGATGTCCTGTTGCAGGAAGCTGTCTGAGGAAAGCAGAAGGGCACAGAGAAGGTCCAAGGGGTTCACTGGTGTATCTGGAGTGGGCAGCTCAGAGAAGGAGTAGATGTCAGCAGCTACATCATCAGCCGTGTCCCAGTAGAGGAACTCCTCCTCCATCTGGCCCTCCTTCTCCCCGGGCCGGGTGTCTGGGGGTGCATCCAGCACCATCGTGGTGTTTCTGGCCTCAGCATTGAGGGCCTGCAGTTTTCTTAGAAAATTCCAAGGCAAGTCTTTGGGTACCTGAGGAGCCCAGTTCTTCATGCTGTCAAAGCTGATCTGCAGAGAATCTTGGAGGCTGAGTTTCTGGATTTGGTATGTCTCTAGTCCCAGAAGTGACAGCATTTCTTGAAGACGGCTTCTCTCCACTGTAGAAAGAAGTAAATACGTGAGTGCCCACACAACTATGCCCACATCAGGAGCCCAGGATGGAGCTGGGGAAGGAAAGCTAAGCACAAGGGGAGGGCTCTTAAGGCTGCAGTTTGGGAGAAGGGGTGAGGATTGTGGCTGTGCCAGGTCACAGAGTCACAGCAGGCTAACCTGACCAAAGCAAGTGCTCTGGACACTGACACTGGAGGTAAAAGATATTCGGCTCAAGTGCTAAGTCAAACCACAGATACTATGGTATCAAAAACAAAAAAAAAAAAAGAAAAATGAAAACGGTTGACCATGTTTAAGAATTGGAAAATTTCATATAAAAATTTGGATTTCTGATTGCTCTTGAAAAACTGAAAGATCTAACAACATTGAGTGCAAATTTAGTTGACTAGAGTGATTAGCAGCTTCTTCTTAGGTGAGGCATGCAGCCCCATCTCTCAGGCCCTATCCCACACTCTCTCATGGATCTTCCTGAGTTCAGCAGTGGCTCCTAGATCCTGGCCTCACACTCTGGGGCCCAGCAGTAGGTTCCCTTTAAGGTGTCACCAGGAATTCCAATTCATTCCATGATTTCTAGTTAATGTTATTTCCTCTTTGCAAATAATTTGAAGGATTAAAAAAAAAAAAAAAATGGAAAAGGAGATATTACTAGGCATATTGTGTATTACTGAGACAATTCTAACGCATAGCAACTCTATAGGACAGAGTAAAATTGCCCCATAGGGATTCCTAGGCTGAAATTTTTGTGGGAACACATCATCAAGTCTTTTCTCTGATGGAACCATTGGTGGGTTCAAACTGTTGACCTTTTGATTAACAACTAAGCACTTAAACCACTGTTCCACCAGGGCTCCTCATTTATTACTGTTGTTGTTAGATGCCGTCGAGTCATTTCTGACTCATAGCGACCCCATGCACAGCAGAACGAAACACTGCCCAATCCTGCGCCAGCTCCATGATCCCTGCTATACTTGAGCCCATCATTGCAGCCACTGTGTCAATCCATCTCGTTGAAGGCCTCTCCCTCTTTCGTCGACCCTCCACCCTATCAAGCATGACATCCTTCTCCAAGGAATGGTCCCTTCTGACAACATGACCAAAACAGGTGAGACAAAGTCTGGCCATTCTTGCTTCCAAGGAGCATTTTGGGTGCACTTCCTCTATTATTACTAGGCATGGGTTATCAGAAATAATAGCTAAATAACAATTTTGCTTATCTGACACCAATGACACAGTTTTTACCAATGACACAATTTTTTTGGTGCTGTTAATAAGTCTGCATTTATTTGTTCAGATTTTCAAATAGCACCTAATCTTACAGCTGTTGAGTCCTCTGAACAGTAATGCTACTTTCAAAGGAGTGATGCCACCATTCTCATTTCCTGACCACTCCTAATTCCTTACCAATTTTCTTATCACATGTAATTCATACACTTTAAATATAAGAACACATAATAAACACCACATAAGTCCTTCTGAGGCCTAGGTTTTCTCCAGTTCCTTTCTCAAATAAGGAAGCCATACTGTGACTTGTAAGATGGATTGACACAGTGGCTACAACAGTGGGCTCAAGCATAGCAAGGATTGTTAGGATGGTGCAGTACCAGGCAATGCTTCATTCTGTTGTATATAGGGTCACTATGAGTTGGAGAGGGAGCTCTGGTAGTATAGTGGCTAAGACACTTGCCTGCTAACCAGACGGCTGGCGGTTCAAACCCACCAGCCACTCCTCGGAAGGAAGGTTGGGCATAACAACAACATGAGTTGTTATCTAACAATAACAACACTATGACTTGTGGCCTTAGATATTCAAAATAAACCACTAGCATGAGCACAGGGAATTCCAGCCATCTTTTGATGCTTACCAAGTAGGTCAAGTGACTGATTCAAGACATTCCCTAGGTGACCAACAGGGCTCACAGCACTGGAACATGGGCATTGCATTCTCTGGCAGGTCCTCCATCTACTGCCTAATATCTCTTTTCTTAGACTCAATTCTCAAGGGGCTCACAGAGCTCCCATGGCAGTGTAGCTGCAATATCTAGCCCCTAGAGAAGACAGGGCACTGTTGAACTTGTTGCAAAAACCACAAGGCACTGAGTGGGGAAAGTCACACTGTGGAAGAAATACTGTATAGATGCTACAGGGTTCTGAGTTTTGCCTGGATGAAACCAGGGACATTGTTTTCCTATTCAGGCATGGGACAACGGTCTTGACATTTAAGCAGCATGGGTAGTAAAGGGCAATGGGGAAAGGACAGAGCAAACAAAACCTATTCATATATGTACTCACAGCCCATGTGTGTCCCTGGGCAAGGGGTTTGGCAGCTCTCAGCTTAGGGCTTCTGATCTGTATATGTAGCAACTAGACCATATGATTACAAACCTGGCATTCATTAGTTTGTTCGAATCACTTTGGGAATGTGTGAACAATAAGTTTCCTTGTTTTTACCTCAAAACTGTTAACCTACAATGTTTGTATGGCACCTGGTTATTCTATATTGTTAACAAACTCCTAAGAATTTTATGTTGGCAATATAGTATTTTTTAAAGCTACAGAAAGGATTAACAGATGAGGGTACCCTCAATCTGAGTGACCTGCCTTCCCTGCCTCCCCAAGTGATTCTGATGTACACCACTAATCTAGATAATACCAAACAAACAAACAAACAAAAAAACAAACTCACTGCCATCAAGTCGATTTCGACTCACAGCAACCCCTCCTTGGGTTTCTGAAGCAGTATCACTACAGAAGTAGATTGCTCCATCTTCCTTCTGAGGAGTGGCTGGTGGGTTTGAACTGCCAGCCTTCTGAGTAGCAGTCAAATGCCTTAGGCACTATGCCACCAGATAATACTCCCTTCTAAATAGAAGTGAGAACAAGCATAGAAAAAAAATAGAGAAAACCACGTACCTGTTGGAAAGTCATTGTCTTGAGTGTCATTTGAACCATCTATGTCAAAAGCAGAGGAAAAACAAAATATTAATTTAAAAAAATATGCCTGTTTTTGACAAACAGTAAGTTGACTTAAACTCAGAATCCTCCCTCTTTATTACTAAAAAGTAACTTCTCCCAATTGTTCAAAATATAAAATTACACTTATTTTATTCACTTTACCCATTCCCTCTCTTCCCCCAATCCAATCTGTAATTAAATCATGTAGTTTATACCTCCATAATGAAATTCACAATCATCTCCCTCCATTTCTCTCCATTCCAAATCTGGAAGGAAAAAACAAAATAAACAGAAAACAGGCACACATATTTAGTTTCACAAGCAAGTTAGACACTTTACATCAAAAAAATGGCAGCAGTGGTTGTTTTTTAAAAAGTTTAGTGTTATTATTAGCTTCATTTTTTTCTATGTAGTTTTTTTTTTTTCCCAATCCAAAACAGGATACAAAAAAGATCAGCTATGCACAAGGTAATGATTTGCTCTTTGATATACTCCTTGTAGAAGCCCCAGTGGTACAATGGTTAAATGCTCCGCAGCCCACCAGAAAAGGTCAGCAGTTCAAACCCGCCAGCCATTTCATGCAGGAAAAGATGTGACTATCTGCTTTCATAAAGATTTACAGCCTTGCAAACCCACTGGGGCAATGGGTTTGGTGGTTTGGGGTATATTCCTTGTAATATTTACTAAACTGTGTGAAAATAAAATAACTGGAACAAACTTATATAGATTAATATTTGATTTTAGAAATATATAAAATGTAGCTGATAATAAATTCCTTAGCTCATTTTCAACCACCTCTTATGAAAATTTATTTTCATTCTATTGTAGTTTTGTGATCACTTCCAATGATAATTCTATCAGAGTGTAATAGTGTGTGGTGGGGCATGCAGAGTAGGCAAAGGGTTGCAACTTTTAGATAAACTGTTGTTTGTCTCTAATATCATATGTCCATCAGCATTAATATTAACATTTTAATTACAGAATATAAACTGCTCAAACTCAAACTAACTGCCATCGAGTCGGATCCAACTCATAATGACCCCTCCTTGGGTTTCTGACATGGTATCACTGCAGAATCAGATTGACCAATCTTCCTTCCAAGGAGTGGCTGGTGGGTTAGAACTGACAGCCTTCTGGTTAGCAGTCATATGCTGTAGGCACTACACTACCAGAGTTCCCAATGTAAACTGCTATTCAAATACATTAGGAAGAGAGAAGACCTTAGAAATCCTACATACTTGCTTGCAGATCCATAATATAAATGAAAAAATGGGTAACTGATGAGCAAGCCTTTTCTGTATATCTGCTTTTACTGTTTTAAAAGCATTACCTATTCAAAGATATAAATCATATCTTTAAAAGCTTATAAATCAAGAAAATCTTCTGAAAATTTGTAGCAATGAATGCCTAAATTAAAAAACATCTCAAATAAATAGTCCAACTCTATACAGTTCAAGGAACTAGAAAAAGAAGAGCAAACTGAACTTAAAGCTACTGTTGTTGTTGTTATTTGCCATGAAGTCGGCCCTGACTCATAGCGACCCCTCCTTGAGTTTCCGAGGCAGTATCACTACGGAAGTAGGATTGCCCAACCTTCCTTCCAAGGAGTGGCTGGTGGGTATGAACCACCAGCCTTCTGGTTAGCAGTCAAGCGCTTAGGCACTATGCTACCAGAGCTCCCTAGAAGAAAAATAATAATATAGATCAGAACAGAAATAAATGAAACAGAGAACAGGAAAACAATGAGAGAATCAACAAATCCCAACACTGATGTGGAGACATTACAACTGACTCAACTGACACAAAAAGGATCATCACTGAATATTAAGAGTAATGATACTCCAACAAAATCAGTAACTTGGATGAAATGGACAAATTCCTAGAGACACATACCAAAAAACAAAAAACCAAACTGACTGCCATCAAGTCAGATCCAACTCATAGTGACCCCTCCTTGGGTTTCCAAGGCAGTATCACTATGGAAGTAGATTGCCCAACCTTCCTTCCAAGGAGTGGCTGGAACTGCCAGCCTTCTGGTTAGCAGTCAAATGCAGAAAACCTCAACACACCCACAACAAGCAAAGAGACTGAATCAGTAATAAAAAGCCTCCTAGAAAAGAAAAGTTTGGGACCAGATGGCTTCACTGGGAAATTCTGTCAAACATTTGGAGAAGAACTGACACCAATCCTGTTCAAACTCTTCTGAAAAACAGAGGAAGAAGGAATATACCCTAACTCTTCCTATGAAGCAAGTATTACCCTGATAGCAAAACAAGACAAAGACATCAGAAGAAAACTGGAGACTAATAATTCTTAGGAACACAGATGACAAAATTTTCAACAAAATACTAGCAAACAAAATCTAACAGCATATTAAAAGAATTATATATCATGATCAAGTAGGATTTATTCCAGGAATGCAAGGTTGGTTCAAAATTAGAAAATCAATTAATGTAATACACACATTAATAGAACAAAGGAAAACAATCATATAATCATAACAATCGATCGTATAAATCAAGGGAAGGCTTTCAATAAAATGCAGATAAGTTAAGAGTTTTCTTGATAAAAACCCTTAACAAGATAGGAATAAAGGAAAATCTCCTCAACATGATTAAGGGTATTTACGAAAAACTAACGGCCAGCATTATGCTCAATGGAGAAAGATTGAGAACTTTCTCATTGAAAACATAAATTAGATGAGGGCGCTCACTCTCACTACTCCTATTCAAGATTATATCGAAATTCCTAGCCAGAGCAATAAGGCAAGAAAATATAAGTAATTAAAGGTACCTGAGTTGGAATTGAATAGTTAAAACTATGCCTGTTCACAAATAACATGACTCTCTATACAGAAAATCACAAAGATTACAAAACAGTTTCCAGAATTAATACAGAAATTTAGCAAAGTTGCTGGATACAAGGTCAACACACAAAATCAACTGAATTTCTATACATCAGTGATAAGAAATCTGAAAATAGATTAAGAAAACAACTCTATTTACAATAGCATCTAAGACAATAAAATAGAATAAATTTAGGAGCTCTGGTAGCACAGTGCCTAAGGCACTTGACTGCTAACCAGAAGGCTGGCTGTTCAAACCCACCAGCCACCCCTCAGAAGGAAGGCTGGGCAATATACTTCCATAGTGATAATGCCTCGGCAACCCAAGGAGGGGTTGCTATGAATTGGGTCTGACTCAACGGCACATAACAACAACAACAACAACAGAATAAATTTACCCAGGAAGGTGAAACACTCATAAAATGAAAATCGTAAACAATTTTGAAAAGATTAAAGAAGATTTAAATACATGGAAATATGATCTATACTTAAGGATTAGAAGACTTAATAAAGTCAAGATGTCATTCTGCCCACAGCAGTCTACATGTACAACACAATCCCAATCAAAATTCCAATAGAATTCTTTACAGAAATGGAAAGACTAACCCTCAATTTTCTATGGAAAGATAAGAGACCCTGAAAGCCAAAGCAATTTTGAAGAAGGACAAAGTAGGAGGCCTCACGTTTCCTGACTTCAAAACATATTATACAGCTACAGTATTCAAAACAGCCTGGTACTGGTTTAATAAAAGACACATAGAGCAATGTAATGGAATGGAAACTCCCCAAATAAATCCAAACATCTACCATCAATTGATTTTCAACAAAGGTATCAAATTCATTCATGGGGAATGATCAGTCTCCTCAGCAAACAGTGTTGGCAAACTGGATTTCCACATGCAGAAAAATGAATGGAGAGCCATACCTCACTTTGTACACAAAAACTAATTCAATATGGTTCAAAGACCTAAATGTTAAATTTAAAACCACAGGAGGGTTCTGGTAAGATGGCAAAATAGGCAGAAGGACTGCACAAACCCTCTTCAACAAAGAAAAGGGAAACCGATTAACACAGATACAGAAGATAATCCTGGACCCCTGAGCCTTGAAGGGAAAGATATAGAAGTGGACTAAACTCCAACTAGCAGAAGAATTTGTATGAAAATACCAAAAAAGGAGACATATGGAGCTGCGGTCTGGCAGCAATCTGGATGGCACACACAGCTTAGATATTGCCGAGTGGTGGTAGGACCTAAGAATTAACCTAAAATCAGCCCTGCTAGCCAGGGGCTGCACGGAGGACTGCTCTGGTGGCTGGGGAATAAAAGGCGAAGCAGCAAAAAAAGGTGGGCTGAGCTGTGGACTTTTGCCTGTCTGGAGAGCACAGCCATTTTCAATATTTACAAGCAGCTTGACCATTTTGGATATTTAAAGCAACAGCATTCTCCCAGATTCCAGGGACTTCAGAACAGGCCCCGCTTGCTGGGAACCCAAAGACATCCCTGACACATAGACTACTGAAAAGGTGTGACATTCCCCTTGTTACTCTTATATCTCACAACTTCTTGTTGAAAGGAGATATGGCCATTCCTCACTCCCACCCACCTTCTAGGTTAGCAGGAATTCCATCCCAGTCTGTGTGCTCGGATGGAGCCTGGGTGCCCTGCCCTGCCCAGATTTTTTTTCTTTTTTTTAAGTTTGTTTGTTTTTGTCTGTTTTAAAAGGACCACTATTGTTATTACTTTTGTCCTTTTTATTATCATTCTTTATTCTTCCCTTCCCAGGTTTGAGTGTCAGCTTTTTTCTTTTCTCTGTTCCTGGTTCCTTTTTTTTTTTTTCCTTCTTTTGGGTAACACCATTCCTTGTTTTCCTTTTTGTGTTTTTCCCATTTTTTTCTTCATTATTCTTCTTCTTTACTTTTTTCTCTTCCTGCCCTTTCCCCAGATATTGCGGTGTCCCCCCCCCCCCTTTTCTCTCTTTTGGTTACTGTCCCTGTGTGATTACATGGTGCGTTTTTTGTCCATTTGCTTTTACGTTTTTGATGGTTATTCAATTGTTATTTTTGTCTGAGTGGGAGACAGCAACAGTCCCCATACGACACAACTACACTCACCTCCTGCAGCTTCACTTACTGAGAGTCACCACCTCCTTCTCCACCAACAGGCTTACGATAAACAACCACCAAGAAAAGCCTGGCACCCTTAGCTGCTCTTCACAAACAGTTAACAGAGATCTAAATAAAACAACGCCATGATGTCTCAGAGACAACAGACCATAACAGTCCACACAAAGAAGCAAGATAAAGTGGTAGAAACAAGGGA